TCACTTTCTCCTCTTCAAGACTGAGTAAATCTTTAATCTGCTCAATACTGTCTCAAAGTTACAGGACTAGCTTGTAACATATGGCCTTTTTGCATAGGGCAGCCTCTGACTCCAGACAAGCCCATCATGTGAATGAGTGAAAAACAAGGCTGTTCTACATGTCTGGACCAAGCCCTTTAAACAACACAAGCAGCAGCTGGCCAGCCATGCCAATCTGCAATCAATGAAATCAACCAGTGGATTGGTCTTATATGCCCAATTGAACAGCAAAATTACTTGTCCAATGCAAAATGACCTGACAGCATGAGCTTATACGGTTTGAACCACAGTCAGCTGGGACATGAATTATGTACAAGATCTTTTGTACAAATGCTTGTCGCAAAACTGATGTACTGATATATGTATCTAGAGCACATATTTTGCCTAGAACTCTATGCATGTAGGAAAATATTTAAAAGAGAAATACTATATTTTTTTAAATAAAACCATTATACCTAATATATGTAATTAATATTATGTGTTATAATTAATGTTATATTGAGGATTTTATATACTTAATTATTTATACTGGATAAAGGTACAAAATAATACTTTTTTTAATTAATATCTAAAAAATGTTTTTAATATATCTTAAATATAATTAAGAAGAAAATCTTCTCACTGAACCATTAAAGGTAGCAAAGGTAATGTTTATTGTTCAACAGGCTTTTGGGTGAAACTGTGACTGAATCTAGCCCTGTTTTATTTGATTCACATTGAACAGATTGAAATAGACAGCTTGTTGAAGACTTCTGTCTGTCTCAGTCCCATTGAGACACTTAAATCAATTATTTATTGTCCTAGAAATGTTTTTCATATGATGCTGTCATCAGTTTATTTCAGTTGTTTATAATACGGTCTACTAAACATAGAAACGTAATTTTTACAATTTTATATATAAATGTTAATATATATTATAATAAATTGTATTATATGAATTTAAATATTCAATTTGTTTTAATGTATTTTTATTATAATTTAATATTAAAGGAAATAATATGTTTGCAAAATATAATATTGTGAATTTGCTAAATGCATAAATGTAAATTTAATATGACCATAAATGTTAGTATTTAATACATCTGAAATACATTATAAATTTATAGTATAACACTATACTAATATCTATCTATCTATCTATCTATCCATCCATCCATCCATCCATCCATCCATCCATCCATCCATCCATCCATCCATCCATCCATCCATCCATCCATCCATCCATCCATCCATCCATCCATCCATCCATCCATCCATCCATCCATCCATCCATCCATCCATCCATCCATCCATCCATCCATCCATCCATCTATATATCTATCTATCACTATTTAATACAGCCAACATACAGTACATTATACATTTATAGGGAAAAATATGACATTATTAATTCATATTAATGATTATATTAAAAGTCTACATAGCACATACAGATAAATGTACATTTTGAGAGCTAGAATCTGATTCCATACAGGCAATTACTTGCATACAATGTTCTTGCCTAAGCGATGCAAAGATGTCATGTTTGCTTAAAGATGCATGCACTTTTAATTAGGTAATGGTCCTTGTCATCCACCCCTGGTTGGTGCAGTGGCCCTGGCCAGATGGTAAGTTATCTATGTTTGTAACGCATGGTTTCAGTGATAGACCAACCAAAGTTAATTAGAATGTCATTCAAGTTTGAGTTAATGGGGGTTGGGCTGGGGAGCTAGTTTGAGTGCACTAGTCCTGCTGTTGGATATGTGTGTTTCATTAATAATAATGGATGTTTGGCTGGAGCAATAAGGGTGGGGCTCCACCTGCTGCCACCTGTTAATACTCTATATAAGCATCAGTCATCCTTATGGCAGAGCAGAAGCCTCAAGGACTGCACCACTATCTGGATTTACTTCACTACACGGACAACAAAAGAAACATTACGTCTGAGGAAATTGTCCACCTCAGGATCCGTTCACAAGACCACCGTTGGCCTTTGAGGATCTCTGGCCCAGGAGTCATGAAGCCCTGCAGGCCGAGCTGTGCGGATTCAGGGTCGGAGTCGGACTCCAGAGACTCAGGGAAGTTTGAGAGTGCCATGCGGCGAAGGATGGCAGCCAACGCTCGAGAAAGGAAGAGGATGCAGGGCCTGAACACCGCATTCGACCGCCTCCGCAAAGTGGTTCCTCAGTGGGGTCAGGACCAGAAGCTCTCCAAATATGAGACGCTGCAGATGGCCCTGAGCTACATTATGGCCCTCAACCGAATCCTGACTGATGCCAGCAGACACGCAACTCCTCAGAAAGACTGGCTGAATCTACAGTTTGACGGCCTACAGCCAGAGACCTATTCTTGCTTTATGCGCTATAACTCCCCTGTGGAAAATGACTGTATGCACTCCTCCTTCTCCTATCACTACGAAAGCCTCTAAGCTCTCACTGAATGATAAGCAATGGTGCGTTCACTATATCTTTCTTAGCATAGATACAGGAGTCAGTAAATATGTTCGTATTACTATGTAATATTTTATGTTTTTGGTTCTGGAAATCAAGTGATTAGCTTTAATAGAGTCTGACTCATGGAGTAGAGTTTTCTGTGCAGTTGTAGAAAATCTTTTATCAGACGTGTCGTAAATATGACTCAATAAAGTCACAGTTGTCAGTGAATCTTTAAGTGAGATATTTGAATTTTTCATTGCTTTGTATCAAATCTTTGTGTATAGTGTGTGCTCAGCTAAGCCAAATCTGAAAAACATACAAAAAATACACCAATCTTATTTTGCCAAAATGGCATCCTAAATTGCTGTTCAGTTGTTGTTGTTGTTGTTGTCGTTTTCAATTGTTTTTTGGTACTGAATTCAATTAGTAAGAAAGAATATGGAAGGCTAACAATAATAATAAAAATCTATCTTATAACTATACAGTGTTTTGTACAGTAGTTTAAGTGTTTTAAACTGTAGTTTATCCTGTGATTAAACAGGATTTAAAAAATGTTGAAAAAAAATGTTTATAGTGCATTTAATCTACAAAATGAACACTGAAATCAAAGATTTTTGTGTCAGTTTAATTTTACTTAATTTTAAACATTTTTCATTTATTTAAAAAAAATTATATAATCATTTCATTCATTCTTTTTAAAAATCATTAAAGATTTTATTTTAAAATAATCCTACTGTAAAATGTAAAAATAAAAACGTTTGAAGGGTAATATGGAGAGAAAAGTGTTACTGTAAGATTACTGTACTGTAACACTTATATAGGCTATTATACTTATATATATATCCTATACCCTAAAAAGAAAAAAAACTTACATCTGTAGACATCCAGAAATGAAGTTTTATTTGCTGCATACTTTTAATGACATGCACACATTTTCATCCATTTTGAAGCAGATTTGCAATAAAAAAAATTTTTTAAAGGTCCAAATCTCTCTGGTGCGCACACCGGACAGATAAACACATTTCAGTGAAGGCCTCTGTGTCCTCAGATAAGACAGCACACCAAACTAATGACTCTGCTGTCAGTTTAGTGAAGGTAGCCTATAAATAATGTTTAAAGGACTGAATGACGTCACGGTTGAATTGTGTGTCCCATGCGTTGTTTACAAAGCAACTTTTAAAGAAGATTTCCTCAAATTTAATTTAAATTTAAATAACCAATTATTCAAACCATTTTATTTTGGTTTGGCTCATTATAAACCAACAAAAGGTCCAAAAGACAATGAAAAGACAAAAGACAATGAAAACGTATATTTTCACAGAGTGGCTCAAACTTGACTAGGGCAGTCCTCATAGCCACTCCTAATTTAGAGAGGAGATTAAACTCTTTGCTGTCCAATGACTGTGTATAACTTGTCTTTTCAGTGCTAATGAGGCGTGAACGGCCAGTGCTCGGCCGAAAGCGTGTACATGAATCTAGATAGACCCTTCTTAATCCGTTTAGCTTCAGCTGTCATTATGACCAATCATCATGTCATGATCACTATGAACTGAACTCAGTCAAAGACACTTCCTTGCATTTTGTTTCTAATATAGGGCGCTTAAGGTCAAGACATTGTCAATTTTATTTTCAACAAAAATCCTTCATCGTGCAATCATATTAAATCTCTCAAATATTAACATTTGAATGAGAAACAAGCCCATTGTGCTTAAATAGGCTACAGGTCTCATGTTTGCGCAACACTTATAAACTCCCGAGGTGCCACAGGGGGGTGCTAGGGGATCTCGGAAAATATTAGTCTAAGTCTGGAAGAAAAAAAATATATATAATAAAAGCTAATAATTTAATTCTGGTAATAATTTAATTAACATTTCTGTGCATCTATATTATGAATGATCTCTGTTTCAGCATGTCTATAACTATGTGACGCAAATTCACATGAGCTTTATTGTCAATAACGCTGTTCTAGAATCTCTAGCTTGTGTCTCAGTTTCCTTAAAGGGGTCATATGATGCGATTTCAATTTTTCCTTTCTCTTTGGAGTGTTACAAGCTCTTGGTGCATAAAGAAGATCTGTAAAGTTGCAAAGACTAAAGTCTCAAATCCAAAGAGATATTCTTTATAAAAGTTAAGAGTCAGCCACTCCTACCTAAAACGGCTCATTCTAACAGGCCCCCACATATCTACCTCAGGATGTGGGAAGATTTGCATAACGCCGCCCAAATGTTCACGCAAAGAAAGAAGGCGTAACTTTTATTCTCGCTGTAGTATTGTTGCTGCCGCCATGTCGTGAAGATGCTGTGTGTTTCGTTGTGAACGCGAAACTACTTTGTTTGGTCTTCCAAAAGAGGACGATATCCGCTTCTCTTTTTAGCAGCATCATATGACCCTTTTAATGGCAGGATTGTGTTTTTAATGGATCTGTGAACAAAAGACAAGCCCCTCCTTCCACAGAACCACTGCTCTGCTCTATTTTAGAGTATTCAACAAGAAAGGTATAAATACAGGTAGAGACTATCCTCAGCCAAATCCCTGTTAAATCCAGCTCTCACCACAATGCAAGACCTCAATAACCGGGCGGAGAATCAGCAGGGCAGCACAGTGGCGTGCGAGATGGAAAACTTGGGGAAAGGAGTTTGGGTGAATCAGGCCTACAGTGGCTCTCCTGCACCTATCAGACACCCCATCAGCACCGTCTACAACCCTCAGCCCATGTTCCACAGCTCTTTGGAGAACATGAACCAAATGAATCTGCCTAACCCCTATTTGGCTGAGGATAAAGTGCGAACCAACCCCACAGAGGAGAAGAATGGATGCTGCTCCTTTCTCTTGAGAGCTGTCAAAGGTAAGAAGAACCATGCTTTTTCTGTTTTTCCATGCGATGTTTCTAGATTTACTTTAACGTTAAAACTTTAAACGTGTTTATGATTTATTTTATTAAAATAATAATACTTTAAATAATATTGTATTATTATTATTATTGTTATTATTATTATTATTATTATTATTTTATATTACAATATTACTATATTACATTTTCAATATTATTACTTTTTTCCCAACACAAATTACAAGTGTCTGAGTGTTCCTAATACTGCATCAATCATTTTACAAGTGAAATATTTTTGTAAGTTGTAATATTTAAAAATGTCTAATGATAATTAAATGATAAATACATTTCTATATTATGATTTAAAGTTAATAACAAATAAATATAAGTAAACAAGTGTTTGTTTTGGTTTGGTAGGACTGTGGGGAACAGCTCTAAGAAAGAACACAAAGGAGAATCCTGAGCTCAATGTCAAAGCAAATCTCAAAGAACTGCTCATCTACATTGTTTTTCTAGTGGATTTGTGCCTGCGTAAGTATTAGTTTGATTGTATGATATATTTAGACCTTCTCTCCCTGTCTGAATGATGTGTTTGCATCAATGGTTACCAGTTGCACAAACACCTGTTTGGAGTATCAAACCACTAAATGGATTAATTGATCATGGATAAATATATTACCGTGAATATTAAGGTCAGAATCTAAAATTGCTATAGTGTCATTAGCTTGCTCTTCTGTCTTTTTGATTGTACTGAATGTAATCCCATGGTTTTCCTTTATATTGTGCTCCATTATGATCCAGAGATGTGTATCAGCCTAAGTGCTTGTTCTAAAATGTCCCCTGCTCTCCTGTATTAAAACACTGCATTGTTCAGGGAAAAATTAGGCCTGAAAGGAACACAAGCGGGAGCCTGCTGATAAGAGCTCAGGTCAGGCAATTGCGGCTTTGTCTGTGCTGGAGTCACATTGTTCCTGGGGGCTATTTGTGTGCTCAAACAAATAACCCTTTGCAGCTTTCATGACGTGAGCACTGCTAATGCATCAAACTTGAATGAATTGATGTCCTTTATCTGTGCGATTGGGGAATGGTGTAGCACGTCTGTGCAAAGTTCAATAAGTGATGTGATTGTTTACTGATTGTAATCCTGTTCTCATGCAGTGACCTATGGCATGACCAGCAGCGCCACCTACTATTACACGAAAGCTATGACCGATCTCTTTGTGAACTTACCGGGTGACAGTAGAATCAGCTTTTCCTCCATTGGCACCACGAATGATGTTTGGACAGTGAGTTTAACTGCTTCTCTTACTCAGATGTGAAATTTAAAGTATATTGATCTATTTATCAAAGTATTAAATAATTTTAACAATAAATTGTTGCTTTTCCTGGTAATTTTTAAAGTACAATTTCAACACAAATTCCACATTTTGGATATTGCTAATATTGTTTTTGATAGTTTTATGTAATTATGTAATATATCACATATACAGTGGGTACGTCAAGTATTCAGACCCCCTTCAATTTTTCACTCTTTGTTATATTGCAGCCATTTGCTAAAATCATTTGTTAATTTTTTTTCCTCATTAATGTACACACAGCACCCCATATTGACAGAAAAACACAGAATCGTTGACATTTTTGCAGATTTATTAAAAAAGAAATATATATATATATATATATATATATATATACACACTCAAAAATATACTTTAATGAATGAATTAATATCAAATATATACTTATTTTAAGTATCAAATAAATTTAATAATAAATCTTTGTTTTTGCCTGGACATATAAAATAAACGTTAATTGAAAACAAACAAACAAACAAACAAATATATATATATATATTTGTTTGTTTGTTTGTTTTCAATTAACGTTTATAATAACTACTAAAAATGTCAAAACCGCACAAATATGAAAAATATGAAAATAAAAACTTTTTCAAAATATTGATAACAACTATGGTAATAAAGCTTTTAGCTTAAAATAATATGCTAAAACAAATGTTACGTTTTTGGTGTTGTTAATATTCTTTATATAATAATATAATATATAATAGTACATATAATATGAAGAATTTTTTATGTAATCCATGTAATGTTTCTATTAGTATTTTAATGTTTTAGATTTGTTGTTTTATATTGTTTTCATAATATTAATGTAGCTTTAAGTATGTTTAATTAGTATTAAAAAACATCATCATAAATGTTTTTCTATTCATGGGACAGATCCAATACAGTAGCACAGTCCCTCTGACTGTCATTTTTGTCTCTAATCTTTGCAGTACATGGAGGGTCCATTACTTGACAGCCTGTACTGGACAAAGTGGTATAATGATGAACCTCTTCCGAATGGAAATCAATCCTTCATTTACTACGAGAACATGTTGTTAGGAGTCCCTCGCATTCGACAGCTCAAAGTCAAGAACAACTCCTGCAAGGTGCACAGAGACTTCCAGCAGGAGATTATGGAGTGTTTTGATGTGTACAGCAACAAGAAGGAGGATGACAGCAAGTTTGGACTGATCAACGGAACAGCGTGAGTGACATTTATGATTAGCAACAGTCATATTTCTCTCTTCAGGGGCTGAAATGTATTTATTTGTTAAATATAATCTCATTATTCTTCAGCTGGCAGTACCATTCAGAAAAGGAGATCAAAGGGTCGAATCACTGGGGGTTACTGACCACATACAGCGGAGCAGGATATTATCAAGACCTGGCAAAGACCAGAGAAGAGAGCGCTGCTATCCTGACGGACCTCAAAGACAAACTGTGGCTTGATCGTGGAACTCGGGTTCTTTTCATTGACTTCACTGCATACAATGCCAACATCAATCTCTTCTGCGTTATAAGGTACTTGACCTACATCAACATCATATAAGCATTCATTTACATTCTTTGCTCTTGTTCTGCATGTCCAAAATTCTATATTTGCTCTGGTTTGCTAGGTTAATCAATAATATTAATAATAATAATAAAATGTATACATCTGTCCTTTTCAATGTACAAGGCAGACCAAAGATACTCTACTTCTGATTACCTAGGATTATTGAATTTATATATTTATTATCATTTCAATAAATATTAAATATATAAAATCAAATATAGAAATGATATAAAATAGTAATATTAAAGCACTCAGATTTAATTTGTTATTTTATTCTTGCATATATTTTTTCTTCCTTCAGATTAGTGGTTGAATTTCCAGCTACTGGTGGAGCAATTCCATCCTACCAGATCCGTACTGTAAAGCTGATTCGTTACGTCACCACGTGGGATTTCTTCATCATCGGCTGCGAGATCGTGTTCTGTGTCTTCATACTCTATTACATTGTGGAGGAGATTCTGGAATTCCGAATCCACAAACTGTCCCATTTCAACAGCATCTGGAACATACTAGATATAGTAGTGATTCTGGTAGGAGGAAAACTGATCATATCATTATCAAATATTCTGGCCACAATAATAAACAAATCATCATATGATTTGGTAAACATTATTTGACAAGAGCAGACTCCAACCGTAACTGTGTGCTTTTTTTAACAGCTTGCTTTGGTGGCAATAGTCTTCAGTGCATTTCGGACCATCAAAGTTGATGAGATACTTGGAAACCTTCTAGAAAAGCCTGACATCTATGCTGATTTTGAGTTTCTTGCATTTTGGCAAACCCAGTACAACAACATGAATGCAATCAATTTGTTTTTTGCTTGGATTAAGGTAATTTCTTTCTTTCTTTTTTTTAATATACTGTAAAATATATTTTATTAAAGTGACCCATTTTGATATTATGATGGCTTCAATCTTTGCAGATCTTCAAGTACATCAGTTTCAATAAGACGATGACCCAGCTTACATCCACACTGGCTCGCTGTGCATTAGATATCTTTGGATTCGCCATTATGTTCTTCATTGTGTTCTTTGCATATGCTCAGCTGGGTTATCTGCTCTTTGGAATGGAAGTTGAAACATTCAGCACATTTAACAAGTGCATGTAAGGGATTTTCTTTTTAATTGAATCATATAAAACTGATTTATATGATTTTTTTGTGTTTATGAGTCAGGAGCATTAAGAAAATGAATGTTAATGACATATATATATAATTAACATGTTAATGTTAATCTGTAAATTTCCTCTCTGCAGTTTCACACAGTTTCGAATCATCCTTGGAGATTTCGATTACGATGCCATTGACAGGGCAAACAGAGTACTTGGACCAATATACTTTTTCTCCTATGTGTTCTTTGTCTTCTTTGTGTTACTGGTACGTTCTTCAGGTGCATGTGACTAAATAATTGTTTGTTCTAAATCATAAGTGTCTGCTTATCAATTAACCTGATGAACTGAATTTAACAGAACATGTTTCTGGCCATCATCAATGACACATACTCTGAGGTGAAGTCAGAACTCGCTTCTCAGAAAGATGAGTTCCAGATTGCAGATCTCATCAAACAGGTGAGTCATCCCAGCGCATACAGTAGACACATCTAAAAATATATTAAATGTTTGGAAAGCTGTGTGATTTGGTTGTTTACATGCATGTGGAAATGATGCTTTATTTTCAGAGTTATGAAAAGACCTTCATGAAACTGAAACTGAAAAAGGAAAAGATCTCTGATGTTCAGAAAGCCCTGGATTCAGGTTCAAGTGAGCTACAGTTTAAAGATTTCAGGGATGCACTGAAAGAGTAAGTCTCAGGTGAAACACTAACACATTCATGTATAGCACCAACAGTAGTGATGCGGAAGAAATCATGTATTCTGGTTGTGTGTCCCACATTTCAGAATGGGTCATGCTGACCATGAGATCTCAGCCGCTTTCTCCAGATTTGACCAAGATGGGAACCAGACTTTGGACAAGCAGGAGCAGGAGAGAATGAAACAAGAGCTGGAGGAAAAAAGGGTGTGTTTGGTTTATATTTCACATGGGCTGGTTTGGCAAGTTAATGTTTCTTCATGGTGACATTAATCTAATATGGAGATTTTGAATATTTATTTTTACATTTACATTTAATCATTTAGCAGACACTTTTATCCAAGGCGACTTACAAATGAGGGCAATATAAGCAATCAAAACAACAAAAGAGCAACAATATATAAGTGTTGTGACAAGTCCTGGTTAGTCTAACGCAGTACACATAGAAGTGCCTTTAGCCTTTTCTTGAAGCTGGCTAAAGACTCAGCTGCTTTTTTATTTTTCTTAATTTCTTTTTCATTCATCTTCTCTTAGGACGCACTCAATGAAGAGCTCCATAATCTTGAAAACAGTGTTGAATCAGCAGAGGACCACAGAGAGAAGACAGTTCCTCCGGAGGTCTTTCAGAGGTTTGTTTCTCAGCCTCTCTGTGTCAGTAGCAAAACCTGCATGATGTGTTCAGTGTTTAGAATTATTTATATACTATTATAGTATTTATTATTTTGATTTAACTTTTATTTTGACATTTTCAGTGATCATTTTTACTTTTAGTTCAAGTTTTACTAATTTCATGTCCCTTTATCAGTTTTATATTTTTTTCTGTTTCTGTTTAGCTTTATTTTTAATTTAGCAACATTTCCAAGTTCCAAGTTTTATTCATGTATATTTGATTTCCGCTTAGTTTTAGTTTAAGTTAACAGTAACAACACTGCTCCTGTTTCATTTGCATGGCTTTAGATGTAGATACATTTCAGGCTGATGCTGTAGTGGTTTTCTGACTTGATTGCTTATGGTTATTTTTGCCTTTCCATTCCAGGCTGGTTCACAAAGTTGCTCAGCTCGAAAATGCTGTGATCACTATATTGTCCAAACTGGATGTTATCATGGTGAAAATGAGACTTCAGGCATTCAACACAGACAACAAAGACACGGATAGGCAGACGACTAGAGATGATGTGAGTTTTTAGATCTATAGAAGTCATGACATACCTTCAATGATTTTAGATATGCAATTTTTTAATTTACAAATAAAAATTGTTAGAGTAATAAATACATGAATCTTGCATATATTATGGAAAATATATACATGCCATTCTGCTGCATTGTGACAGGAATCAAGACCAGCTTCAGGAAGGAATATTCAGGTAAACCTGGAAAGAGTCTTGGCTCAGGGACCAGCATCCTGGTCATTAGCTGGTCCGATGGGGAATATGAGGAATCGTTTGTATTCAGACGTCGGATGGCCAGTCGTCACTGAGAACAGTAGTTCTGCACGTCACTGATTCATCAAAACCTGAGTTTAAAACTGACTAATAATAGGCTTCATCTAAGCCTGGTCTGTGGATAAACAGACGCAGAATGTGACAGTAGAGAGGAAGGTATTACTAACTGTAGAATAGATGTAGTACTGTTACCAGCAGCACAGAAATGTATCCGTTCTCCATACTGACTGTTTAACATGTGCAGTTACTGTGGCATATGACTGACAGTCTGATTATCTTCCACTTTAAAGCTTGATTAATGTTGAGCAGTGTAACTGATGTATTGTGGTGTGTAAAATACATTCCCTCTAGTTTCTGGGAGTTTAAACTCTATCAGGCTAATGACAACTATTCTTCAGATCTTCCTTCCTATTGAAGCATTCATTTCATGACTACTATTAGTTCTTATGAAAGAAATTCTCCTGTAACCTCATGGCTAACAGATTCTTTCCAATCATATAGTATGGAAACTTCACCGAGAGCTAAATTTAGTGAGAACAGTCATGGTTACATTTGACATATTATGAAAAGTCATCAGTGCAATGTGTATTACAGTCTTTGGAAAGTTAATATATACTTTGAGATGTTTTCCTTAAACTCTTTCTTTACTTTGATATGAACCTCTTGTAAATGTATTTTATAGTGTGAAGCATATCAGTGTATAAACAAACTACTATAGTATATACATTAACCTTGGAACAATATTGCTTGTATATTTAAAAAGATGTATAGATTTATGAAAAAGATGATTAATCATTTATGATTAAAAGATGTAATGCAGATTTATATTTATGTAATATTTATCTCTTTCTTTCCTAATTGACATTAATTATATGCAAATAAATTACTGAAACTGCAAAACAAATGGTTATATGTTGAAAGCAGACCATAATTCTGTTTAGAAAAAAAAGGAAATGTTTCTTACCCAATGGTTCATTTATTGAGACCCATTTAGACTAAAAAGAAAACTTGAAATGCTAAGATGTATTCCAAACATTTCTGCCTTTTACATTCAATGCTTTGAGCAACCTCAATATTATGGTTTGAAACATGCAATTCCTTAACATCCCCAGGAGAAAAAAAAAAAAAAAAAATCCAGACCTTTTCTCTGGCTACTCAAAAATGGCACGCATATTTGTTAAAATAGCAAAGGGACAAATTTACAGTAGGCTCTAAAATAAATCATACAGCTCACTACGAGGGTCTCAGTGTTCAACTGAAATATGTGTGTGACTGAGCAAAAATTAAGGCTTGCTTGTAAATGTCAGTCACACATGTAACGTTTGACTGACATACGCTGCATTAGTCCTGCAAAAGTCTGTCAAGTAGAGTGCATGCTTTGAAACCCTTACTCCAGGCCAAGATATCAAAAGATATTTACAGGTATGGCCATTATGACCCTTTCTCCATAGTGAACGGGAGAGATTTAACTGTCTGTAAATTGGAGTAAAAAGATGCATTATACACACACAGTATCAAAGAGCTCTAGAATCGCAGGAGAACGGGGAGCTAATGTGGATTAAATGTATACCACTGCACATAGAAATTCATTTACACGTCAACATTTACAAGACACAGGTCCAATGAACCCCCAAAAAGTGCCTTTACTTACATTTGTTTGCCAAGTCAGAATGCAGAATGAATTTTTTTTTGTTGCTGTTTGTTGTGTTTTTGTACAAAATTCAAAGTTCATTCTGTAATGAATAAGCAAACGCATGATCCGCTATTTAGGAAGAGAAAAAAAACAAACAAAAAGAAAATACTTTGTTCAAAAAAAAAACATTTACACCACAGGCTTTCTGCAATGTACCTGTGAAGTTCCTGAAGCTAGGTTTTAAGGGAAAATCAGCAGTTTTCCTCAAGATATGCAGTAAAAAAGTGTGGGGGGCAAGAGATACAATACAACTCCTCCTATTCCACTAAAACAGGAACAAATCTTGTGAATGAATTGAGATTTCCATTGAAGGCGCTCATCTCAATTGCCGCTTTAATCTAAATTTGAATCTTTACAATAAAGTGATTCCTGCTTCAGATCCAAAGCTTGTAGGGAAAAAGATGTGCACTTATTAGTCTTTAGCAACGCTCCCTGTGAGAGAAGGATCTAAAGAAGTGAGAGGCGTGTGTAATGAAGAACCAAGGTCAGATCACTGTGTCTGGTACCCAGCCATGCCAAAGTTAGCCTGGTTCATCACTGGGCCAGGCTGAGCCTGAGAGGGTTGCGTCCCAAAACCTCCCACCCAGGCCGGGGACTGTGATTGTCTAGAACAACGAAAAGTGGACGTAAACATTTTCAAGTTCCTGCATAGGTAAAACATAATACAGAACACACATAAAATATGTAAAAAAAAAAAACGTACTCCACACCAAATCCTTGCTGATTCCATGCTTGCCCGTACATTCCATAGGATGGCACCTGCCAGCCATCTGTCATGTACTGACCGTATTGTTGAGGATTACCATACATTTGATTCCAGTGTCCCCACTGACCATACTCCATCTGTGATTGCAAAATCAAGAACTTGAGCTTTTTACTTTGTGTGTCTAGGTAAAAACATATGCTGGCCTGATTCAAACAATGTCAGTATGGGAAGAATTTAATACCACATTAAAATTAGATTATGATAAAGCAAATTCACAGGAATTACCGGCTGAACGTTTTTGGCCATGTCAGGTGACTCTTTGCCCCAGTAGCACTTCACAACATGACCTTCGATGGTGGTACCATTCACTGAGACGATGGCATGAGCAGCACTTTCATGAGAGGAGAACCTGAGAGAAAATGATGCTGCTGTATGTAATGATGTCTTTGTCACCATTTGGCTAATTAAATCTTGACGCTCCCTTTAAAAATAACAAATTTATAATGCATAATAGAAATAATATAGAAACTAGAAACATTTCTTATAATTAGGGCTGCAACTAACGATTATTTTAATAATCGATTAATCTGTCGATTATTTTTTTTTTCGATTAATCGATGAATCGGATAAAAAAAACAAAAAAGCAAGAAAAACATTCATTTCCAACCCTTTATTCAAAAACAGAACTAAAACCTTTAGAAAGTGCACAAAATGTCCTTACTGTAACTACTGATCAATTTAATGTGTCTTTGCTCTTTAAAAAAATAAAAACAAATAAATAACTCACTGACCACAAACGAGGTGTTTTTTTTAAAGATATGTAACAAGACTAAGCGGATGACATTCTTTTTTACATCATTTTATGCTTCCCCCCCCCGTTGGGAAAACAGTGAAATATTAGGCTGACATTTGGCCTTTTTGACATTGGCATTTTGCATTCTCCATTAAATTACTACTATTATTAAGTACAAATGATATCAGCCATTAAGTACAAGTCATCCACTCTGCTCTCTAGATATCAGCCCTTACTGGTTAACCACGACAAGCAACCATTCACTTCTTGAAATATAATCACACATGCTTCTACAATATTTTACATTATACACAGACTGTGGACAAACGGTCTAAAAACAGAGGAATAGTTGAATGATACCTGATAAAAGAATAACCCTTCTCTGGAAAAACCCTGATCTCCATTATCTGTCCGAAAGGAGAAAACGTCTGTCGCATAAGGTGTTCTGTTTGAAGAGAACAGTGTGAGTCACATGACAAAGCACTAAGAGCGAGCATGCATTAGGGGTGTGCGATATTGACAAAAAAATGATATCTCGATATTTTATGGGATTTTATCGATAACGATAATTAGACGATAGCGCTTTTGAATGGTTTTTGCAAAATACTCGATAATGTCAAATCGCACATCGTTAAAACAACAATTACGATATTATCGCAGACGATATATATCGCACACCCCTAGCATGCAGACTAATACTCAGAATGGGAGAGTAAAAGAGCAAGTGCAGACGTACCTGTGAGACCTGACTGAATGCCACCGCAGTACACCGTGCAGTTCTGAGGACTCGACTGGTTCACCACCTCATCAAATCTCAGCTGCTTGGAGCCGTCTGGAAGTTCCCCCAATTCAGTCACGTTAATTCAGCTCAACTCTAAAGACAGCAAACTAACAAAAGATAGAGTGGATCAAAATCTGGCTTACTGTCTTGCACACTCTTGGGGGCTGGAGGTTTCCGAGTTGCCCAGTTAGTCCGGATTTGCCGTCCACCAAGCCACTGACCCCCCATGTGTACTATGGCATTCTCAGCATCCTAGAAAAGAAGAAACAGACTTAAACAAACGTAAATTTAAAGCGAAACAAAACTATAATCTCTCAGCAACACTTCTAGTCATTTTTTAGTTCATCTGTGTAATTAGGAACTACCCACATAAATGTCCTAGATTGCTTATAATTACTTTTACTAAACTGACTTAATATCTTGCACTCAAACAGAAAACCACTCTAACAGTCTGACTCATTCCAGTAGGTTGAATATCTGTAATACTACAGCTAAAATATGAATTGTAGTAAACAGAAATAGAATAACCTTCATTCTGTGTTCCTGTACTGGAGCCTTACCAGTTTGTTATAGAAGGACACAAATCCATACCCCTTTGACTTCCCTGTTGTCATATCCTTCACCACTCGTGCATCCCTGCAAGAAAAACGTAACATTGGAAAAGTCAGTCCACTGACGACTTGCTAGAGGATCTCAAAAAGAAAGGAACCACACACACACACACAGTACTGTACTGAGAGACACTGTTATGATATCCCAAGTTACTCTAACAAATCTACACTAACAACTTCTGCATACTCTCTTGATTACTGATACTTAAAAATGAATGCCACCGCAGTACACTGTGCAGTTCTGAGGACTCGACTGGTTCACCACCTCATCAAATCTCAGCTGCTTGGAGCTGTCTGAAATTTTACCAATTCAGTCACGGTAATTCAGCTCAACTCTAAAGGTGGTAAACAAATAAAAGACAGAGTGGATCAAAATCTGGCTTACTGTCTTGCACACTCTTGGGGGCTGGAGGTTTGCGAGTTGCCCAGTTAGTCCGGATTTGCCGTCCACCAAGCCACTGACCCCCCATGTGTACTATGGCATTCTCAGCATCCTAGAAAAGAAGAAACGACAGATTTAACAAACAAACAAACAAATGTAAACTTAAAGCAAAACAAAAATATAATCTCACAGCAACACTTCTAGTCTTTCATTAGTTACTCTGTATAATTAGGAACTACCCACATAAATGTCCTAGTTTGCTTTTAATTACTACTACTAAACTGACTAAAATCTTACACTCAAACAGAAAACAACTCTTAACAGTATGACTCATTCCAGTAGGCTGAATATCTGTAATACTACAGCTATAATATGAAATGTAGTAAACAGAAATAGAATAACCTTCACTCTGTGTTCCTGTACTGGAGCCTTACCAGTTTGTTATAGAAGGACACAAATCCATACCCCTTTGATTTCCCTGTTGTCATATCCTTCACCACTCGTGCATCCCTGCAAGAAAAACGTAACGACGGAAAAGTCAGTCCGCTGATGGCTTGCTAGAGGATCTCAAAAAGAAAGGAACCACACACACACTGTACTGTACTGAGAGACACTGTCATAATATCCTAAGTTGCTCTAAAAAAATCTTTACACTAACAACTTTTGCATAATATTCTCTTGATTACTGGTACTTTAAAAAATATATATTAAATAAAAAACAAGTACAAAGTCATGCAACCTACACTACTGCATGTATATTTAAAAGCTCCTGCAAAGATTTAAACTTTTCCTGTGACAACATAATGATCCAATCTTCATCTTAATCACTAGTACTTAATCTCTCATATCATCAATGTCATTACCATGCATTCCTAATTTGAACAGTTGTCTCTAATTCTACTCAAGAGTACATAGAAATATCAAAAGAGAAAAGGAATTAAACGGCATACATGGCCTGTTAACAGATTTCTTTATTTTTCCTGGTCAATTCTTTACCACCAATGTGGAGTTTGGGAAGCTGCAAATTTCGAGAAATTAACATTTTCAGAATTTTAGAAGATTCAAACTATCAACACAACTAGGAAAACCATCATAAAACAATTTTTACAAGCAAATATTAATGAATTATCTGAGGTTTGTTAGAAGTCTACACTACGTCATCGTCAATAGAAAAATACTGCAGTATACAAATATGAAAAGCAAAGAGTAAATAGAAAAAAATCTACATCTGAGTTCCCAGAGTGCACAGTTCCTTGCTGTTAGCCTTCAAGCTCCTGTCCAATCCTATGAGCATTTCTGTAAAATAACCAGAGCTCTATTAACTGACACTCAGAGCTAAAGGAGACACTGAAAAGTTTGCACAGTAGCAGTGTATCATGTTTTTTGTGTTGACAACGAAAAATTTTACTTTTTAGGTAAATCAAAACTACTTACCAATTTTGGAAAAGCAATGGAGATTAGTGATGAAAAATTTTAAGGTGCACTTTACAACAGATCGATCCGGGGACACAATATTGACTATACTGCCCTGTGCTTGCTGATAATACCCATTATGGGACTATTAAAATCAATGTAATTAAATATTACATTTAAACCAAAATGAAGGTCTCTGAAACACTATGACATCCTGTTCTCAACTGCTGACAAACAACTGTGCAGGTTTAAAGAGACATGTAAGTGTTTTATATAGGGCTGCACGATTAATCGCATGCGATATTTAACGCGCATCTTATCAGTAAAGCCGGTTCTGTAATCAGCGGTAAATCGCCACAGTGAACAACGGCTCTGTGTAGTTAATGCTGCTCAATGTGAAAGAACACAGGTGATGGAGATTTACCACTGAGTACAGAACCGGCTTTCTGACAAGATGCGCGTTAATATCGAATGCGATTAATCATGCAGCCCTAGTTTTATATAAAGCTTTCATTACTTTTTTTGAATAGCTTTTCATTACACTTCATAAATGTGACAAAATGTGCCAGCTAATCCCAGCACAAATTACAAATGTAAAGTAAATGTTTATCTTTGCATCAATTTCTTACCAATATATGTAAATGTTAAGAACCACCAACAACAAAAACAATGTATTTTCAAAGCAAATAAATAAGTAAACTTTGAAACTGTTTCCAAGATTTTAGGAAAACAGGGATTAAAAAAAAAAAAAAAAATAAATAAAAAATAAAAAAATTACATACAGAGATCATCTGGCTCAAAGTAACCAAACACCACCAACTTGACATTATTCAGACAAAAGAAAAAAACATTCCACAAAAGGGTGTGACTTCTGGGAACTTACGAGATTTTCCCAAACGGTGCAAATGCAGCTCTGATGTCATCGGTTGTGATCTCAGGGCTCAAATCTCCCACAAAAACATGAAAGTGATCTGCAGAAGGATGCCATTTAACACAGGTAACTACATTTAAGTAAATCTAACTTAAAAAAAAAATCAACCACTATTGACATAATACAAAAGAACTTACTGGATGTGTCTTTCTTCTGACTGCTAGGAGTGGTGGCCCAATTTACCTTGACTTCCTGTTAATAAAACACACTTCTTGAAGGCTTTATCATTGGTAACATCATAATCAGGGTGCAATGTTTCACAATAAACATCAAACCACCCTAATCTTGTTATACTTTATGTACCTTTCCCAAAATCTTCCTTCCGTTCATGGCGGCCAAAGCAGCTGCGGCGTCTCTGTGTTCAAAGAACTCCACAAAGCAATATGGATCATTGCTAGTATGCTGCAAAACAGAAAATCCAGTAGAGTTCACCGTCCTGCTGCTATCGGATTGCTGAGAAGAAAAGCGAGGAAAATATATTATTGCAAAGTCATGGGTATTGTGTGGAAGATTGTTTAATATTTTCTGTCGTCATTTTGCCATTTTGGTGTCATTTTAAGAAAATGTAAGAAATTACGATTTGTCTGTTCTATGATAGTTTTAAAAGCAAATGTATTCCAAATATTAATGCCAATGTAGAGTTTGATAGGCATTTCCACACAAACCCATTTACACTGGAAAAATTAACATTTCAGGGAACATTTGGTAAAGTGTAATTTGTGATGGATGTTTACCTCTGTTATCATTTTACAACTTTTACATGGTCCAATCTGAGTAAATAACTGAAGGATCAAGTTCTCCGTTACATCTCTTGAAAGATTCCCCACGTAGCTGAAAATGCAGATAAAACATATTAAAAAGACATAAACAGTAATTACAGATTACGGATTACTTAACACAATAAGATTATTTTGCATTTGAATAAGGTCATCTACTCTAGGCGTTTTCCAAAAAAGAAAAAGAAAAGTGTATCTATATATATGAGCCAGGCATAGATCTGACAGCCCCTTTATGCCCAAATGACCTCAGGACGGGAACACACATTACCCACCACAAATCATCTACTCTAGGCGTTTTCCAAAAAAGAAAAAGGTGTATCTATATATATATGAGCCAGGCATAGATCTGACAGCCCCTTTATGCCCAAATGACCTCAGGACGGGAACACACATTACCCACCACAACACTAAACTAATGAAACTATGTGCGACAGTTAAACAGAGTTAATTCACGAGAGAGTTTTATCCTACGTTGTAGAACCAAACACAAAATTCATACTTCTAGAAAAGAACAGCAGGCCTGAGATTAGATAACAGGCCTTTACTAAAACAGAAGACAATGACATGCTCGTTCAAACACATGAATACTGAATATGATAGTTTACTGATGCACATAATAAACCCATATACCATAACTTCTGATATACAATTCAAATTTAGCTATGTTCATTATATTTGCCTTGCATTTAATTGTTTTGATGAATAGCTGATTTGACTAATTAGCCGCTAGCTTAGCTTAAGCATGCTACGGCTACATGTTTCCCCACAATCACCGGAAAAAGATGAAACTTTTCTTTCTTTCTGCTGTACGTAAGGCCAACGATAGTGTCTGGCCGAAACTCTGCCTATTATAAGCAGTGATTACTAACAGCATACGATGTCAAAAACGTTGGTAGGACGTAGTTTTTGGAGCCAAGTTAGCTGTTAGAAGTGTGTCAGTAGTGCTATAGATTGAGCCGTTATTCACTGAGCACTGACAGGGTTTGTGTTTTCAGCTACTTACAGGGTTTTTGGGAGGCTCTCGTCTTCCATTCTTGGATGCCGGAAGGAGTGCTAACAAAACTTGTCTTCAGTATCTCAGATGTGGTTTATTTTTAGGATGAACAATACTGGACTGGTGTTATTTTCAATCTTGAGTAGAAAATGGCGGAACCCGGCTAATCAGGAAGACAGTCACTGCGCATGCGCAGAAACAGCCGGTTCTGGAGGGCGATGGGTCTGATGTTTTTATACAGTCTATGGTCTGACAGGAAAGGGGAGTTTGACGGTGCTTGTGTAAATGCAGGTGTGAATATATCATGTATCACAGGTATATTACTTGATAATGTGAAGTTGCAGGTTATGTATTTGTGTGCTTTTATTCAGCCTAATCTTTTAGGGCTTTTTATTTGTTTTCAGTGACCACCCAAACTCGGTCCTGGAGGGCCAGTGTCCTGCAGAGTTTAGCTCCAACCCTAATCAAACACACCTGAACCAGCTAATCAAGCTCTTATAGGCATACTAGAAACTTCCATTCAGGTGTGTTGAGGCAAGTTGGAGCTAACCCCTGCAGGACACCGGCCCTCCAGGACCGAGTTTGGACACCCCTGTGTTAGAGCTTCAGTGAATGCCTGAAGTCTTTGACAAAAAATAACAGAGACGCACTGAACCCAGGTAATATTTAGTGATTATTAGTGTACTGATTACATTGCAGAAATGTTGTTCAGGAATGAAAATGTATTGTCCCCCATGTGTATTGTGATAGAAAATTAAAATTGTTGCAATGTGTTATATATTTAAGGGCATGTGTGTGTGTTGTTTGATTTTTAGTGTTACATTTTATAAATTATTATATTTCACATATAGAAATATCCAGGAATTTGACTTCCCACGAATAGCTTGCGTTTGTTTAATTGTTTTTTTAATCAATGTCACAAACCTGGTTTCAGTCCTGATTTTTTTTAATTAATATTTTACATTATTCCATTGTATTAAAAAATACAGATTATTGTATTTTGTATATAAATATAATCCAGGGATTAGGCTGCCTCCTTTTAACATAAAAAACTAATTATTTCGGATTATAGAAGCAATGTGGAAAGAAGAGTAGAATGACAGAGATCAGCCAGGGTTTTCCCGTTACTGTCTGTCTTTACGTTAAAAGAGCAACAAGTATAGCAACAAATGTTTTTTGGGGGGATTAAAGTGTCAGAGAGGATTTGTGTCGGTCCGGACGGTCAAGGGGTAATTTTTGGTCACACACGTGGGCGTCACAGTGAACCCTCAGCTAGAACTTTCTCGGTAGTCTTCAGAGAGACCTTGCTGCTTCGAGAAACCCGTCCCTGTTTACAGTACGTCATCAAACGGACCCTTTAAAGCGTCTGTAGCGGCTGTAATGGCACAATATTCGGGAGCGAAGCAATATCAGAGTATGAAAACACTGTCTCCAGTCGAAACGATGGCAACTAACGATCCTCTACCACCTGGGTGGGAGATCAAAATTGACCCGCAGACAGGTTGGCCCTTTTTTGTGGATCACAACAATCGTACAACGACGTGGAACGATCCGAGGCATGACACGAAAAAGGTAAAAAATAGATCTTGATTTTGCTTTTGGAAGTTGCGCTGTCAAACGTGAGCGTTTTTCGGGCGATTTTAAAAAGGTGGATCAACATATGACGTGCTTTATAGATTACTTGGGCATTATGGCATTTTAGAGGGTGTTTCATCGAAAAAGACAGTTTTGTTGATTGCGTAGGCTACGATCCCACTCAGTACATCCACATCATACTTGATCAGACACCGACTGTCTAGAGGAGCCACGCACTTGATATTCGCCGAAGCTCGCCCGTGAATCGCTGTCACCTCTGTGGAAATGGCGCTTCGCGTGCATTTGAACGACCTGACGGCGCATACACGGGCGAAATATATTAGTGTGATGATCTCAGCTGAAGTGATTAGTGTGTGACGCACTGCAGTCATATGTGAGAGTGTTAGAACGACTCCACAATGTTTATTTAAAGCCTCGAGAACTACGCACACTGCGCTTGTTCTCCACATCCCTGGAACCGCACAGCACTAACACGTCCCTCAAAGTTTCCCTTACATGGGATTTCAGAAAGATCCACCCACTCACCGATTCTGTCACTCCCAATGAATGGGCTTGAAAGTTACAAACTGGAAGTGTCAAACTGTTCTCCGCACATCAGGTTCAGGGAGTAAAAAACGTGTGTGTGTGTGGGGTGGGGTGGGGGACACCTGGGCTTGCCATTTGGCATCTTTCCTTAGATAGATCAACACTTGTCCGAAGTTAGTGTCACAAAGAATCTGCTGGAAAGACAGCTGCCAGGAGATAAACTGAGCGCTACTTTGGCGTCTATCAAAAAAAAAGAAAAAAAAAAGGGGGCATGAGGTCATATACACTAACCAGCCTATTCTCTCTGTTTAGCATCTTGGTTTTGAATCTTTTTATAAAACTACATAACTGTCTTAAATTCATAACATTATAAACCTTAAATCAGGTATCTTTAACCTATTTCAGGCCCTGGACTCCCTAGTGAAAGGAATCGGATGCGTATTGAGTGTTGCATTTTTAGCTTGGCCTGTAGTAACATGTATATATTGCCACATTAATGTATTTAACATATTTTGTTATGTTTACAATACAATGTGGAGATTTGTACATTACATTTTTATTTAGGATGGAAAATAAAGCAATTGGCTGAACTTTAGCTTCTTAACTTTAAGCATTTAGTGTAAGTTGAGGTCATGTTAACGGAATTTCAGCGGAATTTCACAACCATTGTCAATTGTCAGTAGTGTAGCGACGAATGAAACAGTCACTTTCAAACCAAGCAACTTTCTGCTGGGCTACACAACGAATCATGTGACCAAATTGAACACGAGTGAAATCTTCGTGAGGAACTTTTTGCCATAGTTTAATGTGAACTCCCAGTCACGTAGACTCCAATATAAATGACTTGATATCACTTGCGAAATTTCACTGAGCAACTGTAAATATGACCATACCTTCATTCAGGAATAATTGCCTCCCTGTTGAAAACCGCTGTCTTAAATTATGTAGCAGCTCTGCTGTTTCAACAAAAGAATAGGTGTTTCATGATGATTTGTTAGGGATTTTGTTTCGTTTGATGTTTGTTGTGTCTGTGCAACTCTGATTTACATAGATGAGTAAGGGAGGCCCTCCCCCTCACAAAGAGTATTTTAAGACACCGTGTCAACAGCACAGGAACCCACTGAAAAATGCTACATAGAGTGAGTCATGGCATTAGAATCGACAGCATACAGGGTATATCCTGTAAGCCAATGCCATCGCTTAACAGTTGCTGTGCACAGTGAGTTTTTTACCCACTCATGTTTCATGTTTGTTCCCGGACTGCCTCATCATTGAGAGAAGGCAGACTGACCTTTGCGTGTCAAACAGATGAGGAGAGAAGACGCGAGACATAAACTGAGGTTTACATTTACGCATTGAACTGAAGCAGTGAAGCAGCAACTGAACCCACTAACATGTTGTTTGGTTGCCTGCAATATCATATAATATAATTATACATTAGACAGATATACAACGGGTGTAATTTGCATATGACTGATTTTGACTAGTTGTAAAAGCCAACAACTTGACTGATTTGACGCTAATAGGAAAAATGTAGCAAGTGTAAAATACTGTTAATCACCACATAATGTGTCATATGGAGTATCTATGTCTAATACAAGAGTGACTTTTAGTTAATAAAATGGTTATCATCATAACTGATAATACTAAGTTAATATAGGAGTTTGAATATCAGATGTTGTGCTTATTAGTAATGCTACTTTTGACTCCTTATATTTTACTCCTTATGTTTGTTGAAGTTTAACTCCCAAAAGTTTGTCCCCACCATTGTGTGTGACTGTTTAACAATACCATTATTTCCTTTTTCAGTTCAGATTAATCATGAGAATGATGATCTACTGATTGTGCAGGGTTATTTCACAAACAAACATCTACACACCACTATCTCTGGCTTGTTTTTAATATGTTTGGCCATAGCCAAGTCATTGGTGCAAGTCAAAATATTTTGTCATGCTGTCTGTAATTCCATTGTTGATAATTGGAGCTTTTTCAATAACCCAGTCAACCATATGCTTGAGTTATTTGCCTACTCCTGCAAAACAATTTGGCGTATAGCTACTACATACTTCAGCAGAACCGAACTGAAGAGCATCATCAGAGGTGTTATATAAGCATTACTGGTATTATGATGCTAAATATTTTGTCTCATTATTACATGAGGATACAACTATTAAGAATACAAATAGTGAGTTAATTTTGAATAGACCTGATCTGTTTACTTATTATGTTTGTGTTTTTCAGATTTTTTTAAATGGCCCCTCTATGTCCCCTGAGTCACCTCAGGACATGCACAAATCCTTTATTCAAGAGATGAGGCAACCAATGCTACGCCAGGGCTACATCCCCATCCCAATCTCCCATGAAAACACTGAACCCAGGCTGCAGCAGTATCCGAGCTTCTCCTACATCCATCCAGTAGTGCAGCAAAATTTGAGAACAGATGGACGTACGCCTTCCCCAACCCCAACAGCACACTGTCGGCCTAGATCTCCAGTGCAGGCCCCATCAGAGGCATGTTTGTCTTGCTCACCTGCTTCACACGGGCCTGAGGTAAGACCATTAGGAATCAGATATCTCTATTAGACATGGCAGTCTCTGTCAGGTCAGGCTATGGTTTCATTGTGAAAAGTTTGCATTAATTCATGTACTCTGCTTCCGGAGTTTTCATTTATAACTTTTCCTTGGGCCCTGTATTTTCTTTTCAAAATGTGAAAAATTGAGTCTTATAGGTTGCTGAAAAATGACAGCTGCTAAAAGTTGCGATATAAACGCACATTAATGCTCAATCATATGTTCTGTCTGTATTTACTGTGGCACTTCACGTTGGTGTGTCGACCCTCGCTCACATTTTCAATGTTCAAAATAAGTTTATTTAATAGTATTTTATACATATTTTGTATTTTATTTTATGTTAAAAATATTTTAATAATTTATAAAAAATATGTATTAATAATAATTGTTATTATTTCTTATCTTTATTTAATCAAAAATGCTGTAAAAACAGAAATATTGTGCAATAGTTTTATCTAAAGCAACTTACAAAAAAGGAACAAAGCAACTCGTCAAAGAGTCAACAATAGTAGTAATGCCAGTAAGTACACAATGCCAGGTTCAAAATTACATTTACTTGAAATATAATTTTTATGTTTTAAAATTGATCAATTTATTGCTTCCTTGCTGAATGAAAGTATTAATTTCTTTCAAAAAATCATACTTATCCCAAACTTTTGAATGCTAGTGTATACATTTTTAGCTATTTCCAAAATCAAACTGTATTTTTATTTGCATCAGGTTCATCAACCACAGGGCACACACCAACAAATGAGTGGCCTTCATCAACAGCCCCGACCCAGCAATACAGGTCTCCGGGCGGGCTACATCCCCATTCCGGTGATCCATGAGGGTATAGGGTGTGCCTCACAACACCAGCCTAGCCAAAGTTCTCATCTCACACGAGAAAAAATCCCAATCTACCGTGAACAAGTGCCCATTCAGATTCAGCAGAATCGAACTGCCAGTCCTATCCTATTAAGGGCCCAGTCACCAGTCATGTCTCAGCTCATGGGAGAGAGACCCCAGGTACGTGTGTTATTTATTAGTATTTATTAATAGCTGTTGATTTACATAAGCTCAAGCCATCTTGTACATTTATGTAACATTTAGTGTGAGAAATACTAGTGTTCAGAATTCATTTATGAAATTTAACTACAGTGAATGTTACTATTGCCACGTCCAGCAACACATTGGACACGCAGCAATACCACCTAAAGCTGAACAACCTGTTGAAGAAATTGTCAGAGCGGCTGCATTTGAGATTCCCATTCAAAGAGTGAGTGATGTTCCTCAGCAAATACATCATCAGCCAGTACATCAACAACAACAACCTACACAAGCACCCCAGCCAAAAGCACAACAACCCGTACCACAGTCACCACAGGTATCAGAGACATCCAATATTACCATACAATTTCCTCCAGCAACAGAACCCTGGGAAACCACTGCCCCTCAAACACCTCAAGAGGTCCCACCCCCACAATTCCAGCCTGAGGAGACTTCAGAACAAAATCTGTGCCACCCAGGACTGATCAAAGTTCAGCAGATATGGGAACGTGTGGAGAAACTGGCACAAGATGTGAAAAGTTTTGATGGGAAGAAGAATGATAAAAGATACTTGATGCTGGAGGAGATGTTGACCAAACAACTTCTGGCTCTGGACTCGGTAGACCCTGAAGGTCGCCCAGATGTGCGTCAGGCTCGAAGGGATGGCGTCCGCAGAGTTCAAACCATTCTAGATGAACTGGAGATGTTTGGAGAGCCGACGGAAGGGCTGGCTGGTGACCCGTACCCTGAGTCAAGTATGATTCTCAAGGCAAACTCAGAGAAGGTCAAGGAGATTTTATAATTGCACAAAGAAGGCACACATTTTTGAGAAGAACACTAATCAGATCTCCATTCTTGTTTTTACTTGCGCAATTATTATTAGTTGCATGCATGAGTAATTGAAGTTTTCTGTTGGAAATGATCTAACGTGATTTGTTTACTGAGTGCAATCATGTGTGCTGTTATGTGATGCTGCTGTTGTCAAATCACACCATGCCAGTGTCTTGTAGCAAAAGACAAAGTGGTGACAGGTTATATTCAAAAACAAATGAAAACGAGGCCTTGAACAGAAGAAAGTATTTTAACGTTCAAAAAGTATCTTTTGTACCATGTTGAATGAATGATAAAATGTTTTTGAATATTCCTTAAAAGTTTTCACTATAACAGCCCACTTCTTCATTAACAACTTCTTATTTGATTTAAAAAACATTTAATGTGTGGGCTACAAAAAATATATAAAGGCATTTTGAATTTTGGCATATATATATTCCTGCCTTTAAATATAACCATTTGAACATCATGCAGGAGAATAATTCATTGTTGAAAGTGAGCTTTGCTGACAGAATTCCCTATGATGGTTTGAATGCTTGTCAGTATTATTATTTGTTGAGTGACAGTGATACAAATTATATATTTTTATTCTATTTTTCTGTGCCAAAATGAACATTTCCAGTATTAAGAATGTTCACCTAATAATGTTCAAATGTTGAATCTAAAAACAAAAACATTATAAAATTCTCACTGAATATATGGTCACCTTATGATTAAAGCAGCCAGGGTCAGTCCAAAGTTATGGTGATCTATGAACTCGTCAGGTACCAAAACAATCCCATTTAATCAACCTTGTGCCCTTGAGGAAGGAAACTTAAACACTTGCTCTAAGGGACTAGAAATTAGTGTACCAAAAATTACTTTGTATAATGTGTCAGCTCAATTCTGTTTAAAACAAAGTGCTGTGTCTCACATGACTGTTGTGAGACCTTTTTATCTCAATGACCTGTTACTGACTCTGATATCGTACTAAACCTGCAAACAAAACTGGTTTCAAATTCTGTTTTGTGAAATAGTATGCAATGTTCAGTGTTCACAGCTTGGTTATTTGCAGTTTGTTAAAATGTCAACATGGTGACATAAGCATGACTGCAAATACAATATAATAAAGCACTTTGCTTACATAAAGTTGCATGGTGTGTAATATACAACCACTTTTTTTAATGTACACTGTGTAGAGTAACTTTACCATCAAATAGCTTATTAAATATCATTCTACAGTGTTAACAGTATTATAGGGCAAGATTATAGTATCATGGTTACTAAGACTGTCAACATAAAATGCATAAAAATTAAGAATAATGTAATATCATCTGTTTTTAAGAATTATATAATAAACAACAATATTTACAAACAAATTATGAATTCCCAGTTATAAGAAAGAGGTATAGTTATAAATGTAGGTTAACCTGAATCACAGTGATTAAAAAAGCTGAGCTATTCATCACAGAAAATGTAAGAAATGAGTCAGCCTTAAAAAATGGAGTCCTATTAGGCATATTTGCAGAAGAAAAGTTTCTTGAAAACTCAAATGAGACCAGGGCATTATGTAATCAGTTGGAGATAATATTACATCTAGATGGCATTTAATTCCTTTTAGGATAGGCTTCAAAGGCTGTAATGTACAAATGCGTTGTGGAGAGACGCCTACTGCCAGCTACAGCTTTACCAGCCAGACAGCAAGCAATGCTTTACTGACCACTGACTACTGCATCTCTCCAGTCGTTTTACACTCTAAAAAATGCTATTGGGTTTGTCCCTTTTTAACCCAGCATGTTTTAGAGTGTAGGATTGATTCAAAATGTATAAATGAATATAGTCTATATTATATTACTATTAATTTAAAAGAAAGCCAAAACAAAAAGGTCGGTGGTCTTATAAAAACATGTTTATAAGGCCTACAATTCTGCGAGTTTCAAGATGATTTTACTATGTGGTTATTTCATATGAATTTTTTTTATATGAATCCTATGGAAACATTGGATTTTTTTAGGGACCATTCACACAGAACCTGTTTCTGCATTCAGAAACGCGAGGCAGGGCAGCGGAATGAGAAAACACAAAGGCAAGTAACGTGATTTCAATTTCCTTTTTTTTTTTTTCTTACTTTTTTTGTCACTTCATCCGAATGGCAAGAAACTGGGCAAAGGTTTTGGCACTTGCTATATGTGAACATGAAAAAAATGAACATGATTCAAAAAGGTAAATGGTCCTAAAAAAAAAGTCACACTTGTTCTTCTCGTGGTCAAAAATGACTGCATTGGAAACATATGGGAAACAAATTTCAAGTAGTGGAAACATTTGGAACTCCCAAACAAAATATTTCTGAATGCTCTTTTTTTGTGATATCAACCTCAAATTTGGAACACAACTTGTTTAGATGTATGGCTTTCTATTTCTATTTCTATTTCATATAAAATTTGTAAAAAGTATTTTTTGCGCATTTTTCATAATAAAACAAACTTAAAATAAACTCACTTTAATTTAACACTATAATTTAATAAAAAAAAAGTTTTCACTTAAGCAATAATCTCCAAGTGTCTTAAAAAGAACAATTTAAGTCTGCTCCAAAGCTCTCAAAATGTACAGTTTAAGTTGGAAATTTCTTTCATTCAATTATTTGATGCACCATAATGATTCTAAAGAACCTATATAATTCATTTCGCACAGTGCTCGACATACAGATTCATTATTTTAACTTATTTAGACCCACACAACCATAGATTAATTTATAGGCTTGGCCTAGAATAATGCCAACTTTTACAACCATTCAAACATGGTACCAGTATTATATTATTGAATCAGGTCATCAGTTAGCCTATATAAGTGTCTTCAAAATAGAATTGCAAAGTAACGATCTGACATAAAACAGTAGGCTACATCATAACCAGTAGCCTACTGCAGGTGGGGCATCTCAGTCACAGATGAGCTATGATGTTCGGTGTGACGGAGGAAGTCACGTGTGTGTATAAGCGGAGGAAATTGTTTCAGTCGCTGCTGCTCCCCTCAGTGGAAAATATTAGACAGACCGGCACATTTCCGAACCACAGTATCGCCCTTATTAAACTGACATTAAATGCACCGACGATTCATTTTCGATGATCGGCCAGTAGCTCACACAGAGACACGATGCTTTATCAGATTATTATAAACATTTACACAAGTACACAGCTAGCAGGTTAGCTGGCGTCTATTGGGACTGCCAGTGGACGAAAAGCGAAGCTGCTGCATTTCCTCGTTTCTCGGATCGGGAACAAATCCAGCGGTTTGGTGTCGGGAAGCTCGTATGTTTTGGTGTTTTGGTGAACATGGAGCTGTTTCAAGCTAAAGATCATTATATTCTCCAGAGCGGAGATAACGCGCTGTGGTGCAGCAGGAAGGATGGATCTATGGCCGTGAGACCAGGTAATTCTTACATTGTAACTCCATCACTTTCTTATAGTGTACATGTGTTTCAATGTTTCCGTTTTCACTGTCTACATTGTTGCCATTTCTTGTGCATAATAGCTGGTCACTATACGCAGCTCCAAAACAGAGACGAGTGATTTGTGCTTCTTTTGGAGAAGTTGGCTCTTTAAAATCATTGTGAAGTTGTACAGACATTAAAGAGATGGAAATGTTAGTTTCATATTTGTCGATCGAGGCTGCTGTCTGAAAGATGCCCAGTCGTTTTGTTTTCATTGCCCTACTTTCAAAGCAGCGGCGCGTGTTGACATGCGTGTCAGTGCAAACCTCTGGTGATGTTTTTGGTAGGATGTCGTGCCTAAAAACCCTTTTTCGTACTACATCATTTGGGGTTTGAGGGTTTGTATGTTTTGGTCAAGGGCGTTTAGATGTCAGCCTAAGACTCTTAAAGGGATAGTTCACATAAAAATGAGAATTCTGTCATTATTTACTCACCATGTTATTCCAAATCTGTATGACTTACTTTCTTCAGGAGATGTTAGACTGAATGCTAGCACTGTCAGGCTCAGTTATGATTACTTCCATTTAATCTTTTTTTTTGTTTTTTCCAAATAATGAAAGTGAATAGTGAAAGCCTTTCATTCTCTAAAAATCTGCCTAACATCTCCTTTTGTGTTCCAAGGAAGAAAGTCATACAACCCCTGATAGCACATGTACATCACGGCGACATCTATTTGACATCTGCAATTTCATCTTCAAGATTTTTTAGCGTGTTTGCTCATCTGCATCTAGAAAATGTCTTTAAGATGTTTATGATTTAGAATGTATGTAAAACGGACATCTTAAAGACGTTTATCGGATGTTTGTACACAGCAGATGCTTTCCAGATGAAGCGATCATTAACAGACATCTTGCTGATGTACAGGTGCATCTCAATAAATAAGAATGTCCTGGAAAAGTTCATTTATTTCAGTAATTCAACTTAAATTGTGAAACTCGTGTATTAAATGTGAAAAAGTGAAAGAGAAAGTGACGTGACATGTGGCCAAGTATGGTGACCCATACTCGGAATTAGTGCTCTGCATTTATCCCATCCAAAGTGCACACACACAGCAGTGAACACACACACACCAGGAGAAGTTGGCAGCCATTTATGCTGCGGTGTCCGGGGAGCAGCTGGGGGTTCGGTGCCTTGCTCAAGGGCACCTCAGTCGTGGTATTGAAGGTGGGAGAACGCTGTACATTCACTCCCCCCACCTACAATCCCTGTCGGTAAGAGACTAGAACCCGCAACCTTTGGGTTACGAGTCCGACTCTCTAACAATTAGGCCACGACTTCCCCGTAAAGATGGAGCGCTTAACGGATTTACGTGTCATCCTTTCTCAGGGGCCATGCTAATCTTCTCTGTATCGATCCAATTTTAGTATATGTGCCGCCGTGGCGAGCACAATTTGAATTACTGAATTACTGAAAAGTTGAATTACTGAAATAAATGAACTTTTCCACGACATTCTAATTTATTGAGATGCACCTGTATGTGTGCTATCTGGGAAATGAGGGTGAGTAAACGATGTCAATTTTTGAGTGAAATGCCTACTATATAATACAATAAACTGAAAGTATATTCTGTATAATATATTTTATCATATATATTTTGTTTATTTTTGCATCAAAATGTATCTCTGTTTGATATTGTGATAACCTTTGGGTCCAGTTTGACATTACTCTTTCCCAGTGGTGCAGGCAGCATCTGTGAATAATAATACTAATATTTAACCAGTTTATAGGCCTTACAAGTGACAACCAAATGGCCTTAATTAAACAGAAATAAAATGTCAGTTGTAAATAAATATTTGAATGTCCATTGTTGATGTATTTATAAATATGCTGGCCAGTGCTAATGCTGTTAGATGTTGCACAGGGGAATTAGTTACACTGTTAAATGGTGAAGGTTAAAGTAAGGGTCAGCCATGTGACTGTTCTTCTGGAGAAAGAACACAGGCACAGTAGATAGTCAAATGAGAATTTTCTGCCCAGGCTTTAAACCAATAATTTACTATGTACCGACACACTTCTCTAACCTCAGACAATTTTTACATTTCTTCTGTGTATTTTATGCATTGTGGGTATTTGACCAGAAATCAGTTTTAATTTCAATTCAATTTAAAAATTATTTAAATGTGTCTTGCATATATTTTATAAAAAAAAAAAAAGTTTGCGTGCTCATCCATGACGTGTGTCTTACTTCAACAGTGTCTTAAAGTGTCTTACTCTTTACTTACAATGCAACCCTTTGTTCCACTTTTGATAATCTAACCTTTAAAATATTTACCTATCCACACCACATTTATCTCTTGTTAAGTCTAGAACTAGATGGGCAAGCTAGACCATCTCTCCGAGTATCAGGGACACTGCAGCCTGTGAAGATTTGGATGAGTTCTAGTTGTTTTTAACCATGTGCGTGCAGCCAGGCTGATCGGGTTTAGGTTGCAGTGCTTTTCCATTATTTAACTGGATAAGGGTTTCCACTGTACGCATGATGTGTACAGTCTCGGTTCTTTTGAATTAATTCCTAACACAATGCATCATGCCACAGTTGCCAGCGTGGCTGAGTGAGGTTATACAACTGTAGTAATTACTACTGTGTTTATTATTCAGTCCCAGGTGGTTTAGTGTGGCAGATTAAAGAATAGTTCAACAAAATGAAAATTTATTAGCATTACATCACATGCTGACCAATGGATCCTCTGCAGGGAATGGGTGCAGTCAGAATGAGAGTCTGAAAACAGCTGATAAAACATCTCAATAATCCACAAGTAATCCACACTCCAGTCCATTAGTTAATG